ACTTGGAACTCTTCTTCCAAGCCAGGTCATCATAGTGCGGTCCCAGGGCCAGCAGCGTCAGTATCGCCCGAGAATTTTTAGAAATGCACATTTCCCGCCTGTGACTGCGAAATTCTGGAGGTGGAGCCCAGCAACCTGTGTTTTACGAAATCCTCCAGGTGATTCTGGCGTACTCACAAATTTGGGAACCACTGTTTGAAGCTATAAGCACATCAATGTACTCAAGGCAATATTGGTAACTTGGCAGAGAAATCTCTCAGATGATAAAGACTGAATTACAGTGGTAAGGTCACTGGGGATTGGTCCTGGTTGAGAGCGCCTCAGGGAGTCCACCAGTGGCAATGACTGGCGGTGACCGTGTTCCCTACAGTGTGTGGGCCCAGCTCTCCCCCTGCCTAGTGTCTCAGCCTCTGACTTGGTGGTTCCTCCTCCCTCGTCAGTGCTCCTTGGGCACTATCACCCTCTTGGGGCTCGTCCTCGCTGTTTCTTGCTGACCACTCAAGTCCCCTCCTCCAGCGAAGGACACACTTGAGGGCCAGGCTCCTGTGCAAATGGATGCTGGACATCCGTCCCCACGTGGATCCTTCTGCACAGAGACTGCAACATGGCTGCAGCTGAGCTCTTCATAACCTTCCTGTGTGGTAGCCTCCTCCTGCCTCGGCCTTCCCGGCCCCTGTCATTGGGCCCTCAGTAAAAGTATGGAAATTAGATTTTCTGCTCAAATAGTGTTCATTCAAATCTGATTTCACCTCTACAAAGAAACTCAAAGAGGGTAGAGTTGCCATTCCCAACCCCAAAGTGGATATAAGGTCCTCTCTGAAAGGAAGACACCAGAAGGAGGCAAAGGAACCCTTGCTACTTAGCCTACTCCTCCACTTTTCTTCAGGAGCCAGGCAGTGCCAAACATATCCACCAGGGGGTAGTGTCTACTGCTTTCCAGCCCTTGGCTGGGCCCTGGGACTTGGTTCTGGAAGGGTTGACTCTGAAAGGTCCCTCGTAGGAGAGAAGGGTACCTAGTGGGCCCTTTTACACATTTTCTCCCCACAATCGTTCTAAGAGGTAGGTTATGTTTTCTCCATGTTATTCTTGAGGAAACAAAAGTGGGATTTGAAAAATGGATCTTTGTGATTCCCAAGCTGACAGCTGCTCCTTGGGATCCGCTCCCCCCGACCGACCTGTCTCCTTTTGCTGTGCACTCAGATGAGTACTTGGTTAGGATTCCGTGCTGCGGAGGCAAGGATATCCTCAGCCACTTCCTAGGGGGGCTCCATCCCTCCCCTCCCCTCGCTAAGAGCGTGGACTATCACGGGGAAGGGACCTGGAATCATCTGAACCCCTCATCACATACTGAGGGAACTGAGGATCCTGGGGGAAAGTGGCTTTTCCAAGCCAGCCTACTAGTGAGGGACCGAACTCACGATGACGCTCAGCCTAGGGTTTCAGCCTGCCACGCTCTGCGGGGGGCCTCTCTCTCCAGAGTCATCCCCACCCCTAGCCTCTGGGATGCTCAACCCAGTGTCAGTGGAACCCCCAAGGGCTCAGGGACCCCAGACCAAGAAACCCCCGGGCTAAGGGTGGATGTTCGCGTCCCCCACTCAGGGAACCCCCTAGCCCATTTGCTCGTTCCCTCGCGCATGCATGAATTCCTGCACGATTTCCTGACTGCCTAGTGTGCCAGGCGTGGTGCTGGGCACTACAGGGCTCTGGAGGAGAAAAACTAGCTGCTGGGCTCAAGGCTTAGCGTGGTGGGGGAGGCAGCTCTGAGGAAAGGCAGGCGCGCCCGCAGCTGGAACCTGATAGGTGGGGGAGCCAACAGGGGACAGCAGGTCGGTCGCAGCTAGTCCGCCCTGTCTAGAATGCTTACTTGACACCTTGTCACTTAAACCTTGGTTCTAATGTTACCAATTGGAGAGGCCTTCCTGAGTACCCCCCAAATCTAAAGCCGTGCCCTTCCCCCAGTCACTCTTCAGCACATTGTGTCTGCTTTCTTTTCCTTCATGGCACTTGTCACCATCTGGAAGTAGCTTCTTTATTCATTGCCTGCCTCTCCCCGCAATAGTGAACACTTCATGAGGGCAGGTCCTTATCTGTCTCATACAGGGCTGTACGCTCAGAACCCAGAGTGGTGCCTCGCGTGGAGCAGGCACTCCATATATGAATGTTCAGTGTACACGTGTCTGAATGTCTGACACAGAGAAGCCCCTGACCCAGGGGAAGAAAGAAATGTTTGAATGTTTTTGTGGTGAGTCCCCCAGCGCACCAGGTCCTGGGCTGTGACCTGGTGGTGAGAAAGCACCGCCGAGGAGGGGCTGCCAGGCTAGCAAATGGTCATTATCGGAGGAAGGCTTCCCGGGGCCGGGGCTGGGGGTGGGGACTGCAGCTCCCATTTAAAGGAGATATGATTGGGGTAGGTCCGCAATCTGGTGCTACCCTGCCAGGCCGGGTGCCTTTCCTCGACCCTCCCCTGCCCCACATTCTCCTTCCCGTTTGTTCATCAACACCTTCCCTGGCAAACACAAAAGGTGAAGGGTGGGGTGGGATTGCCAGGTTCACATCCTTTATCAGACAATCAAGTGACAATTTCTTTCTTGGGTGTGAGGCCCAGGAGATACAGGAGAAATGTTAAAGAAATTTCAAAGACTGTTGAAGAAACGCAAAACAGTCTATATGTTTTAAGTTTCTCTGTTTCTGTGTGTTTTTGTAACAGTCATTGTAACATTTGTTCAAAGCCAAGTTTGGCCAATTTTTAGCTGAATAACCTTGGGTAAATTACCTGACCTTTCTGTGCTTTGGTTTCTTCCTTTTAGAGTAACCATATTTCTTATTTCTTGGGTTAAGTTGTGTATTAAGAAACGAAAAGTACGCAGAGTCCTCAGACCAGAGCCTCTCATGCAGCGGCCCCTGACTGGAGCAGGGGTTCACTGCCCCTTGGCTTGCCCTGTCTTCCCCTCTCCGAACTCACTGTGCTCACCCTCAGACATTGCGTTTCAAAGGTTAATATTGAATTACATTATAAATGCAAGAACCCAAATGACGATATGAGAGTTATGATTTCATTTGCCTCTGATCCCTCTTTCCTCCTTCAATTTTACCTTGTTATCACTGTTATCCTTTTGCCGTTGTCCTCGTGGACACACGGCCCCTTTGTGACGTCTCCTCTTCAGGGATCCCCAGGTTGTATCAGTCTGCAATGGCTGGGGAGATGCCTCCCAGTTCTGAGTCCCTCCTAATCGATCCTACACAGGACTGATTAACTTTTAGAAACCTTTCCAGAAGCTTTCACTTGACACTCTTTCTCCCTTCTCTGAAGTCCTGCAAGTCACAATTTCCAAGGCCGAGTACATGCACTGCTCTATACTGTCGCTGCGTTCCCTGTGTTGACGAAAGGAACACCTGAACCTGTAGAGAATTTTTCTGAGTTTGTTTGAGCCAAAACTGATGACAAGTGCTGGGATTCAAGATCGCAATATCTCCAGACAATGATGATGTAGTTGTATCTTTTATGCATTTAAAATTAAACAGGGAAGTAAGAAGGATTGATTTCATGAGAGTGGGAGAAAGCAAGGTGGGGAATGGATTACAGCAGTGATTCTCAGCTGGTGGACCACAAGAATTTTTAAAACATGCAGTACTTGACTATTTAGTTAGGGGCACTGACCTCTTTTCCCTTAAATTGTCAAATAAAAAAAATGACAGCAGCCAACACAACAATAGCCATCAGGTGTGAATGATTCAAAATTATACCTATTTTTTTTGGTCAGATTGGGGAAAAATGTATTTTTTGGTGTGCCCCAGAATTTTAGTAATTAGTTGATGTGTGCCATGTGATGAAAAAGGTTGAAAACTGCTAGATTATAGTATAGTTAACAGATTACGTTAAGTTTATTTCAAAGGCAGATCCACAAAAGCATTGGACAGGGCTTGCTTAAGGGAAAGATAAACCTTTTACTGAACAGTTATATTCTTGGGGTTGTGACTACTCACCATGAGCTGCGGTCAGGAATTGGAATTCATGGTCAGATCACCCCGCCAGGCCACCTTCGGTAGAGCCCCTTTCCGCCCACACCTGTCAGGGGCCGGCCTCGTCTTTCTCACTAGAACACGAGCCCTCAGAGGCCCGCCCTGTGGCCTGCACGTCCTCCATAACCGCGTTTTCTCTCAGGCTCAGGCAGAGTGCAACCTGTGGATGAGGTCAATGAATGCCCGCCCCGTGGAGTAAAGAAGAATCCTGTCTTTATCTATTTGAACAAGGAAGGCCCTTAGGGGATCCGCAGGCCAACACCCTGACCAGCGATTGAGGCTTTTGTTTTTGTTTTTGTTTTTGGTGCTAAGGCTGCGTGGCCCTACAGCCTCACTGATGAGAGATGGATAGTCTATTGGTCAGGAGCCCAGGCACTGGACTGACACAGGTGCTTGTTAAGCCTCTTACTACCTATGTGTGACTTTGGACCAGTCATTGAATCCTTTTGAGCTTTCTTCACCTATAAAACGGAGCAACACCAATCCCTACCTCCAGCTCTAGTGAGAATCAATAAGGATAGCGGGTTTAGACTGTTTTATGGGGTTCCGGGTTCACACAGGTTTCAGTATTGAATTAGGGAAAATAACGGGGGAAGACTTGTCAGCAGCCCTGGGGAGAACCTGGCGGAAAAATTTTACACGTGGGTGGAAAACTATGCTTGGGGGACGGGATGCAGCATTATTAAGGTATTATTATTTTCCGCAGTTCGACGCGGTCACATGTGTGTACCTCTTGCCTCTCCCACTATCTATCCCTGATTACTCTCGAGTTTAATACCAAATATTAAAATATGGGAGAAAAGATTAATTAAAACAGTCACAGATTGAGCAGACGCCCACCTCTGCAAGGTTGGGGCTGCGGCGCGCACATCACCACGCCCGCTCCGCCGCTGCGGGGCTGCTGATTGGCTTGTGTAGCGTGACGTCACTCGAAGGTTTTTAAGCCCGAGTTCCCGGACGGCTCGGCAGTGACTGCGTGGTGGGAGCCGGCGTGGAGTGTGGCGCTGCGTTTCGGGTGGCTGTTCCGGAGGGGCGTCGGAGAGCGCCGCTGACGGAGGTAAAGGGGATGTTCAGGTCGGGCTGAGGCGGCCCCGCTGCGGGGCCTGGGGCTTTGGAATCGGCGATCAGAGGAAGGCTGGCAGAGGAGTGTGGCTGGGCGGTGAAAAGGGGTCGCGGTGTAACCAGGGGCGTGTCAGCCGCCTGGGGATGTGGAGGGTGGGTGGGAGCAGGCGTCAGTCTCTCCTCTCAGCGCCTGCACCCTAACCCTTAATTTAGGGGTGCTGTCCAACCTGCGCCTTCCCGCGAGGACTATCGCCTGGGGAATAGGGGTCGCGGCGCCTGTTACCGCACCGCAAGCGGAAAACGAGGCGCTGGAAGCCGACCGTCTGCCGCATCCAGGCCTCACCTTCACCTCAGCGCCCCTGACCTGGGGGTTACTCTAGGTCTCATCGCCCTTGTTAGGAGTTCGGGGAGAGGGGAGGGCCCTTCTTACACCTGCAACTGATTTTTTTTTTTTTAAAGGAATTTTAATAAGGAAGCATGGGTGGCTGATTTAGGAAAGGATCAAGAAGTTGCACATTTTATGTTTGTTAAACCTCTTCTTTTTTCTCTCATGAATTTTCCCTGTTCAGATAGCCCAGCTGTGATCCCCAGAACCTGCAATTTCAAGGCCACCTTCGTGCCTCTGCTGTGAAGCCCCAAGGCCTGCACTTTAGCTGGAGCTCACCATGGGGAACCACTTGACAGAGATGGCCCCCACCACCTCCTTCTTGCCCCAGTTCCAGGCCCTGCACGTCGTGGTCATCGGGCTGGACTCAGCTGGAAAGACCTCCCTCCTTTACCGACTCAAGTTCAAGGAGTTTGTCCAGAGCGTCCCCACCAAAGGCTTCAACACGGAGAAGATCCGGGTGCCCCTGGGAGGGTCCCGTAGCATCACCTTCCAAGTGTGGGATGTTGGCGGGCAGGAGAAGCTGCGACCACTGTGGCGCTCCTACACCCGCCGGACGGATGGGCTGGTGTTTGTGGTGGATGCGGCCGAGGCCGAGCGGCTGGAGGAGGCGAAAGTGGAGCTACACCGAATCAGCCGGGCGTCAGACAACCAGGGCGTGCCTGTGCTGGTGCTGGCCAACAAGCAGGATCGGCCTGGGGCGCTGAGCGCTCCTGAGGTGGAGAAGAGGCTGGCGGTCCGAGAGCTGGCTGCGGCCACGCTCACCCACGTGCAGGGCTGCAGCGCTGTGGACGGGGCGGGTCTGCAGCCGGGCCTTGAGCGCCTGTATGAGATGATTCTCAAGAGGAGGAAAGCGGCCCGGGGCAGCAAGAAGAGACGGTGAACCCAGGCTGCTCCCTCCTCGTCAGCAGGGTCTGCATACTGGGCAGCCAGGCAGGGCCTGTGGCCCCTCGCTCAGCCCCGGGGTGCAGGACCTGTCCACCTAAGTGAAGGACTGAGGAGCACACTGGGTGCGCTGCTTTGGTGCGGCATCGGGGAGGGGCCTGTGAGAGGGGCTGTCCACTCGCGTCTCTGCCTCATCCTCACCTGTGGAGATGAGGGAGCTGCAGAACAGAGGGGGCTTCAGTATAAACTGCAAATCTACCTCGACCTTGTTTCCTGTTCTTCATTGGCTTTTTGATTAAATGTGTTTTGGGTCGAAGAAAAGTTGCTTAGAGAATGCATTCGATGATGAACGAGGATGTCCCTGGCCCGCCTCCCCCACTGGGGAGCCCCCCCCCGGCTGCTTTTATAGGGGTGCCAGTCATAACAGTCTTTATTTTTGTGTCTGTGTGAAAGTGCCAAGAACCCCTCCCCACATGTGTTGACCGACAGCCGTTTTATAAGCCATGTGTGTCCTCTGTATTATAAACTATTTTTTAGCATTTACCTGTAAGTTATTAAAGACTGATGATACTATACCTTTAACCTTGGTCTGGCATTTTCCTCCCTCTTTACCTAGCCCCAGGGACGGTCCGACATTTCTCTATGGGTGGGGTTTGGGGTTGGGTGGTGAGAATACCTTACCTGGAAGTTGAATTTTCCAAGCAAGCCCTCTTCTAAAAATTACAGTTTAACTTCTCCCCCCAGCTATTGCCTAATCGCTGCCATGTTGGGGGGAGGTTCTCCTCCTTTCTGCTACTTTTTTCCCCTCCCCTCACCCTGTGGCTCTCACTTGCCCATGATACAAGCTGGTCCTTGCAGATTTAACTTCAAAATGTGCTGATCTGAGCTGTTCCTAGGTTTTTGCCCTTGGGGATACCTCCTTAGGTCTATATAGGTAAGTCCTCAAAGAGCCATTCTGTCCCATTCTCCATTCTCCCCAGCACTTGGATTGGTCTGAATTTTTTTCAGCCTTGCGGGGGGGGGGGGAGGCATGTGAGGATGGAAAGTAATTCCTTCCTGGCCTAAAGCCACCTCAGGTGCTCAACCTGCTGACTGCGCTTACTGGCAGCCACAGTGGCGGCTGGTGCCGGGGAAGCCTGGGCTGGATCGAGTCAGCCTGGCCCTGTGACTAAGCCGTGAGTCTCCTAAGGCCTGGGAATGATAGCTATTCCCAGGAGAGGGGCAGGAGTAGCAGCTGTTGGTGCCAGGTCGGGGTCAGGACTGCTGGACATCCACCCTCAATCCTCCGGGAGAGGAGTGGGAAGCACAGCCCAAGACGCTAACGTTGTGAGGGCCTGAGTGAGCCCTGGGTGGGGGGCTCAGGGTGAGGGCCTGGGCGCCCATGCCCCCTCCTCACCGGCACGGGGGTCAGCTGTGTCCGAGGTAACAACAATCAGACCCTCCTAATCGGCGGGGGTAATGAGTTCCAACCCCAGCACAATTCTTCCCAGCCCTCAGCACCGCCGCCCCTACCCCCACACCCTGGGTTACACTCCCAGCCTTTGCAAGTACGGGATCTTCAGAGCAGGTCCTTGCTCCAGAATTAGGTAAAAGGACCTGGGGAGGGAGAGAAGGTGCTGGCGACCCTATCCTGGGGAGTCTTCCTAAGGAACTTGCTTCTTCCAAGCCAGGCTGGCAGAAGCCAGGTTGTGCTGCTGAGTGTGGGCCAGTTCAGATTAGCTACCTGTCCTCCCCACCCCCACCCCCGTGCCTGCCCGGACAGAGGTGAGTGCGCATTGATCCGGAAGGGTGCCCAGTGTGCATCGGTGCTGCAGCCTGCTTGACAGAGCTGCTGGGCTGGTTCTGCTGGGGACATGTGCTGCCTGGCCCCCCTCTACACATGCCTGTGACTCATGGCTCCCAGGCCTCGCAACAGAGTCCCCTGCTGCAGCCCAGAAACAGGCTGGGGAGGACCTAGCATGTGTGTTCTCCATTTCTGGTCGTCCGGGGGACTGAGGTCTCTGGGTTTGGGAGGAAACATCCATAGGTCCTTCCTCGTCCCTAGCAGAGGGGCCTCCAAGGTGCCAGCTCTTGGTTCTGGCTCTGCCAACCCTCCTCCCTATCTGATTAGGACCGTCTTCTGCTCCCCTGAGGCGGGTTCCAGCCCCGGGGGCCATGGTCCACAGAAGACCAGTGAAGCCCCCAGCTCCTCCCCACTTCCCTCTGGCCCAACCAGCTGGTGGGAGTGAGGAGCGGGCAAGCGATAATGAGATGGTGAAGCCAGTTGCCTTGCAGGGGTTGTGGGGAGAGGAGAGCACTGGGGAATTCCCATTTAAAGCTACATCCTGGCTGGGTGTAGGGGGAGCTTTGGAATAATCTTACCTTGGTCCACCCCACTAGGTGTTCCACATGTTGAGCTTTGGGGAACATGTCCCTTGGAATGGGGATGGGATCAGGGCTGGGGGTGGGTTGTAGTTCCCTTGTCCTAGTTTATTAAATAAATAGTCTTCCTTTGAGACCCTGAGATGGATGCTGAGGGAGAGCCTCCCTGAGGGCAGAGAGTCTCAGGGGCCAAGAGTGGTGGGCAGGGGTTGGTCGGCTGCCGGTGAGGTGAAGCTGAAGGAAACCAGGGGACCCAGGGTTGGGGCTCCCGTCTGAGCAGCCCTCCCCTGCACCTATCCTCACACAAATTGGATTATAAAGTCCCGATGGAGGGCACTTTCCCTGGGGACCCTGACCTTCCTTAAGCCCCTTCTGATGAAGGTAAAGATGGCAGTGGTCCCCTTCCCATGCCTACCTCCAGCCCTCTTATGCCGCACTTGCTTAAGGAAGAGAAAAAGCAAAGGGGAAGGAAAGAAGTCCCTAAGGGCCAGAGTGGGCAGTGACGGGCCCAAGGACACACAGCTCTTCAGTGGTACATCCAGATCCTTCCTCCCAGGCGGGCTCTGTGTACTCCTGGCCCACATGACAGGAGACAGGAGCCAGGCGGCAAGTCCGGCGACATCTCGGAGCTCTGACCTGTCTTTCCTTTCCTTCCACCAGCCTTGATTAAAGTGAGGGTCAGCTTTCCACTCCCTTGCTCCCTTCCTGCAGAGTGGGAGTTTTATGTCTGAAGTCCAGTACAGCTCTGGCCTCAAATCTGGCCAGAAGTCCCCACACTCCTTTTACACTGACCACGTGTCATTCCAAGTCTTCCTTGACACAGACGCCCCCACTGAGGCCCGGGAAGCACTGAATTTCGCTGAACCGTGGATGGCGCACAGGACAGTCTGTTCTTCTCCAGCACACGCCGTTTTGGATGGAGGCCAGTGGGAGGGAGGACTGAATGGAGGCAACAAGGGAGGCCTAGGCCAGCACTGGGATGTAAGGCGTGAGCATTTTGTAACTACACATCATTTCCAAGGCCATCTGCTGGATCGGGGCTGGGGAGTTGGTGGGTGGGTGTTACAGGACCTCCTCCCTTGCTAAGCCAGAGGAGGGTGTTTTCCTTCCTTCCTTTTTCAGTTCTTTTTTTTTTTTTTTTCACTTTTCTCTCCCTCCCCCACCCGCTTACAAAAGTCATGATCTTTGTTGTGAAAACAGCTTCGAGACTTAGAAAACCGTAATGTAAACCTTGGAGCTAGCTAAGCATTTGAACAGATTTTTATATATAATTTTCCAGATTTTATTCTTTGAATATTGACAAAATGTAGGTAGAAGACGTATTGTCATACAGTGTTGTTTTTCTCTTTTTTTTTCCAAACTATAAGAGAAAGCTTATTTAGAAAGTCACAGAGGTAGAAGTGAGCTGTAGAAGAAATGGACTCAGGAAACAAGTTCCAGAGGCAAAAAGAAGGGCCCTTGGAGCTTAGGAGGGGGAAGGGTAAAGGTAACGTGCCTGGGGAGGAAGAGGAGGGGGACAGGAAAGGCTGTCGGGTGTGCCCCTGGGAGCGAGAGCCTGCTTTTCTCATTTAAGTCTTGGGCATTATTCAATGTCAGGACATATGGATTTTCCTCATTCTTTTTGATGACTGAATGAGATTCCATTGTATGAATGCACCATAATTTATTAATTAAATTAACAGAGTGTCCACAGTAATGAACTTCCTTGCGTGTGTTTCTTTGTACAACAGGGGAAAGATATCCTTTAAAAGAAATCCCTAGTAGTATGATTATTGTCAAAGGGTATACTGATTTCAAGTTTTCATAGATAGTGCCAAAGTGTGCATTTGTGTAGAGAAGATTTGGGTAGGGAGGGAAATTTAATCCAGCCTCCGCATCCCCAGATTTCAAAGCTTCTTCAAATTGATGGGTGTGTTGTGTGGGGTAGACATTATACTGCTCTTGCTTTTGTGGAGGTAAATAATATCACCAGCGTAGGCTGGGTTGCTCAGTTGGTTAGAGTGTCGCCCCAACATGCCAAGGTTGCGGTTGGATCTCAGGTCAGGGACATGCGAGAAGCAACCAGTGAATGCGTACAGAAGTGGAACAACAAATTGGTGTTTCTCTTTCTTTCAAATCAATACATTTTAAAAAATTAAAAGAAAAGAAAAGAAACGAAATCACCAGCAACGGGGCAGAAGACTTGCAGGCATGGGGAGTGAGCCCCATCTGTCCAGGGCTGCCTGGCTGACGGCGGAGGCGGCCAGATGGTGAGGACTCCCTAAGCGCCGGGCTTCTCACCGAAGGCAGGCAGAGTGGGCGAAACAACTCCTGAAATAAATCCCTAGGACTTGGCTCAAGCAGGGAGTCCGGCTGAGACTATGGGTACAGGGTGTGAGGTGAATGAGAACAGACCTGGGGCCTGAAGGAGGGCAGCGGAGGCCCCTGGCCTCTCCCGGGGGAGCCCAGACTCCCTTAGTGGGGACCCCCACCAACTGCTATAGCTTGAGGACTCCTGGAACAGGCAGCAGAAGCCTGAAGTGTCAGCTACCTCAGCCCCTCCAGGCTGTTCAGAGGCTCCACCTCTGCTCCCTCCAGATGGGGAGGCAGGAAGCTCTCTCTCTTTAGCACCTCCCGCCCTCTTCTATTAGGTCTGGTGAAAAGATTGGCGGGGGAGGGTAGGAATGACAGCTGGGTTTTAGAGATCGCTGAAAGTGAGGTTTTGTACTTTTGATTGCATTTGTTTTTACAAGATTACCATTGCTTTTCACTCCAGAGGCTGACTCTTATCCCTAGGGAGAGGGAAGGCAGAACTGCTTACTCACCCTCTGGAACCCTTCCAGTCTGATCGGGGAGGAGCAGAAGAGCCTCCAGTGTGACCAGGCAGCACCTCAGAAAGCAACCCGCAAAGCAAGGCTTGGCTCTGCCTCCAAGTTCTGTGGCCTTGACCGAGCTATTCCCAATCTCCTGGCCTCAGTGTACGCTTCCTTAAAGTGAGGGGGCTGGGTAAATAATATCAGATCTTTTCTGGTTCACTTTTGTTTGTTTATTTATTTATTTAACGATTTTATTTGCCCTGGCTGGTGCGGCTCAGTGGATTGAGCACCGCCCAGTGAGTCCAAAGGTTGCCAGTTTGATTCCCAGCATCTTAAAAAGAATTGAAGGGTTGGGGGCCATCTCAATAAAGAAGTGCTTTTAGTCTAAAACGCTGACA